AGCATCAAACTCTTGATCATGCCTTATGCACAGGTTTGATGTTCACTTTATCCTCCAGTAATTAGATTTTGAGATTGATGAAATACCAAAGCCAATTTCTCTTGGGAATTCAGGTTAGGGTCTACAGCTTACCACTCAACGAACAGGAAGGTAATCTTTTGGCTGACCGGTTCCATGGCTTGAATAATGAGGTAATCCATTTTAAGACTATTTTTTACCTCTGAGGATTTGAAGCCGATGGGATAACTATCACGTAATGGACTTCAAATCCCCCATTGACAGATTCAGCTTGAAATAAAAGACACTATATCAACTCAGGTAAAGGTGTCTTCAAAAACCTTATGTTTTTTTTTTCAAATTATACTGCGTAAACTGCGTCTTTTCAGATACTTTTTTAATACAGAACTAATCCCTGACGTTTTATACGAGATTCTACAAATGGCATTTTAGTAGCCTCTCAATAAGATATCGTAGTCCACAAATTTTCAACCGTTTCATTAAGCCTTCTTCCTGTTTCCCTCAATATTATTCCCTTTAGAATTAAACAGCAATTTCATTTGAATAACAAAGAGCTTAATTGAAACGTGTGCTTTCTTTCAAAGTATTGCTGCCCTTACGCTTGTCTTTCGGGATCGTGCTATGCATTTTAACAATGCGGTGATGATGGTGGATACCAAAAAGAAATTTACTACCGGATGATAATGGACAAACAATTGTCAAGTTAAAGTGCTCTAGATAAACGTCAAACCTTGTGGAAGGGTATATCCATTAAGGTTTAACCACGCATATTTATCCATTCAGGCACATTTAAGTGCCGATGGCGATAGTGGTTTATCAGGCGGTGAAGCACAACATTAACAGTCATTAAGTAGCTTAAAAGTCTAAACGAGATTGAAATCACCAAATTTTTGGAAAAACACCGCACTCTGGTTCCATTGTGCCAGTTTTGATTTTGTCCCTCCCCACTTAATGAATCGACTTCAACTCGATCTCAAAGATGTGCAAGCTTCTTAGAAACGAAATACAGCAACTAGAATAGGCACAAGACGTGTTAAAAGAAAGTACATAGGCTGGAAACGGCGGGCCATGCCTCATCCACTCCAATCTTAAGCGTTTGCTTAGCACATCTCTCTGAGTGTGGACAATCACTTTTCCCTTCGACTTGAGCAGACAATCACACGTGGAGGAGAATAAGGAATGGAGAAATTAAGGGTAGCGCAAGTGAAGGTAGCTAGGGTGGTTTTTTTCTTTCTCCCAGAGAAGCAACCTTTTTATGGAGGTGGAATTGGCAAATTGGTATCTCGTCGAGAAAGGAGAGGCAGATTGCAGTCGTGATTACTTTAGCAAGCAAAGTATTTGAAGAAGCTTTCTGCACAGTAATTTACTTTTTCTTTTTTGTGTTACACAAAATTTGTTGGCTGTCTAATAGCATAAAACCAATTAATTAGTACATAAGGGTGACCTTCTTACCAATTTGCTGCCTACGGAACTATAAGAGTTCATCGTCCTCAACTCGCGCTTCACTACTGACTACGGCAGCCTTCTCCAAAGTAGGTGATGTGAAATTTACTTCACAAAAGTGGGGAATATTTAGAAACTCCATGGATAGAAGCACTCTATCTCAATTAGCAACAGTGAAAATGTCCTACTAATGGTAGGCTATGATGCCGTCGGAGATATGGCAATCAGACTTAGAATTACCGTCAAAATTTGACCAAATTTAGAGAAGTTTTCGGGCAGCTTGTTCTATTCAAGTTTTAATATTAATTGCTTATGGTAAGTAAAGGTTATTTGATGTTTGGACTTTCCACCGCTGTGTATTTGAAGTGATGTAGCAAGATGGTAGCCTTTTACTCATTGAAACCGAGTTTATTGTGCCAGAAACGTCATGCTAATTAGCTATGGTTTTACAGGAGTTGGAGTCTGTTGTCCAAAAGGACGCGAGAAGTGCTGCTTCGTAGTCACGTCCGTCTTGTGACCTGTCTGATGAAGGCAAAAATGTTGCCAGAGTATAAAATAAATGAGTGAAGGAACAAATAATCAGTCCCAGTCCCAGTTTCCATTGAAACTACTTCTATTGTAAATTCACTCCAGCACGATAAGAATCGGTAAAATGCCCCACAATGAGGAGCTTGGAGTGTCCTTTTGCCTGAAGTGTACATTTTTTATGGTAGTCAGTGGAATATCCTTACCGTTTGAAGGTGTTACATACTCACAATAGCCTTTTACAAACCACCCTTGGGCACGTAAATAATCATAGGTCCTACTGCGAAAGAGCCCATCCCCTTGATTAGGAGATCTCATATCCTGACTTAAGCCCAAAATAATCGCTAGACTAGTAACTTGGATGAAAATGCAGCGTCTAGCATGCCACACTACGACAATTCGGAAGAATGATTTCTGCTCCTATGGACGAGATTATTGTGGAAAGTCTACAGCAGTAGAAGTAGGCTATGGTGTTTACAAACTTGAGAAAAATCTCTTCCCCTCCCTAACGTTAAACAGTCAACCCAAAAAACTTGGCATTTTAGGTTGTTCAGCTGTTCGTTATAGTGATAACAAAATGATGGCGGCTTGGTAGAGCGAAAGAGCAAGAAACCCCTTAAGCATGGGGTCTAATGTATCCATTCAATTTGCACGGTGCAGTGAATTGTGCTATTTATTTTAAACCAAATAAGTGGCATTTAATTTCTGACTGACAGCGGTTTTTCTTCTTTATAAGGACATTGCAAAACTTAACCTTAAATTGCACAATTTAGTGCGTTATCGTGCAGACCTTTGATTTCTAATGCAGCTCTTCGAGTCTCTCCTGAGTAACAGAAGAAGTCTTATTACTGGAACCGAAAATATATTGCATACGTACGGAAGAGCTGAGGGTCTATTGGCATGCACAAAAGGTCATCACACTGAGTAGAAGTGCGATGGCAGGGCCTTACTAGTTTGTGTTATATAAACCCCAGCGGTAAACAGACAATCGGAGCATTACATAACATGCTCTCCTTTTGAGCTTTGTCTCCTGCGATCCCTCTGTCTGGCCTCCTGAGTCAGTCACCACAATGCAGTCAGTGCCTTACAAACAAAAACGGCAGGTGAGAGGATTTTTGACTATAACTTCACTGGTCCCTCATGGCAATTTTGTTGGATTTGGAGTGGTGTCCTTTTTAAAAATTGCATTGGGGGAAGGGTGATGTCCTGACTAACTCGTATGGTTTTGCCCCCTGTTCCTCCCAGCTACTTTCTTCCCACTTAAGTGCTGCCCAGTTATGTATCTCGTGCTCACTAAGTTAATTTTATATAGATAACGCAGGCAGCTATACAACAAACTTTTTCATATGGTTCACGCCCACGACAGATGCCGCTCGCTTCAGTTGTTAATAGCATTCCTGCAGCACATGACACTTGAGTAGTTATAGAAGGTAGACGTTATTCTCAACCCTTCTTTGAGAAGGTCATCCGAGTTTCACCCATCTGCACTCCGCCCCCGTTTTACGTAACGTTAAGGTTTAGCATTAAACTTGTCCCGAAGGCCATGTCGCCCAGCACATGCACACTGGTGGAGTCTTAAGTACCAGCATAACGAAACGGAAAAGTTTAACTAACACCTAACTGCTATTAATCTTGAAGTGACAAACAGTTCTTTGAGATTGTATGCGTTTCATCATGCCAATTTGCAGACATTAAACTTGTCGGCTTCACAGAAGGGAAACAACAAGCGCTTATGCGAAAGAACATTTCCGTTTAGCATGTTCATTGCCAATAAACCTTACCTCTTAGGGAAGTATCATGAAAGATAATAGAAAGCGGTGTACAGTTACAATTTTTTTCTTGATGAAGTAGGTGAAAGTGCTTTGTTCTGAAAATTAGACCTTGGAAAAGTATCATAGGAAAAATTCCACAACTCCATGCAGTTATTTTTGGTCCTTGAAGTGAATGAAAGTGCTTTGCTCTGAAAACGGACTCCCAAGATTTTGCAAAAACTTGGTTCTCCATACTTTAAGCATGTCCGTTTTAAAGTCGTTGGAATAAGGTCACCACCACACTCGTCTGCTTAAGTAGCCGAGAGGTGAGCGAGTACATGGACATCCCACCAACTCCCGCCAGCTTATTATTTAAGGAGACATGTGTGGGCCTAATCACGCAGTTGTCTTAACAAGCAGCTTTATTTATCATAAAAATGACATCGAGGATGGAGAATGATTATATATGCCGTAACTATATGAATGTTGAGAGAAGGGCATCATTTTCTCTTTTGATATTTGTTGCCTAAAGCTACGTGCGTCTATTTCTTCCTCTGATCATAAAGTGATCAACAGTTCAATTTAACCCATAGACATTTCAGCCTTTTGGAATAGACGATTGTAGGTCAAATGTTAGATCAGACAAACCATGTTACTCAAGATACTTCCATTATGTTTAACTCTTCGGTTTGGTTACTCAAGCACTTAAGGCACTGCTAATTTTACCATCCCTGCCACGCCGTTGACTCCATTCCTACTGAACGCCACAGACACTTATTCTGCTACACTTATTCAAGCATAATCTCACCTAAGACTTTGCAACCCCTTATTGGACTCCATTTTCTCTGTCTTTTCCTTTGATTAAGAAATTTATATGCCACCCTGCTCAATGACGTTAGATTAATTTTTTCAACGAACTTTTCTAATTTTCTTTTTTTAATAATCCGCTATCCACCACAGTCGATTACTGAGCATTCGATTAATTGTGAATAATGCCTTATCGAAGAGTCTGAAAGGATTTGTGGCTCCCTTTTGTTAACTTAATACTCACGGTTGCTGCATGCGTCCACTTTCTTCCTCTCCCTAATGTATGGCACATTCTCTTCTGATTGGGCTCAACTCGTATTCTACAGAGCAAACTTATTGGCCACCTTTATGCGACCTGGAAGGTCTGATTAACAGAATTAGAGGAGAATTTAGAGTCACTTAAGTAGACTGGCAAATAAGATTTATTTGCATATTAAATCGAACCCTGTTTCCGATTTGGGGAAAGGAAAATTAGAGATTTGTATTTAAGTAACATGCAATTATTTAAGAAAAGGCTGTCTTTCCTACAACAACCTACAGCAGTCCTCTTCTGTGCATTAATTAGGGGGCTAATTCGACTGCTGATGTTTTCATTCAGAAGTTGTCTCCTAAAGTTATTTCAGCTAAATTAGAATGACTTAGAAACCCCTGATTTGTATGTAACTCGTTAATTCACCCCTTAATAATGGATAATCTCGAATTAGAATGTATATTACAGCTAACACACGGAGTGCCGGGTGGCTTTGTTGGGCTCGGCTTAGCGACAAATCGAGCACCTCCTGTGGATCGCATCTGCAGCTGGCTAGTTTTTGCTTCGAGAAAACGGGGATACTGAAAAAAATCTTCGTGAAATCAATGAAAAAGATTTAGTATCAAGGAATAAAATTTAATTTTACTCGAATAGAAATAAAATAACAATAAAAAGGAAATAAAGGGAGCTTGCAAGGACCTGCTATTCTCACCTCATACTAAAATGGGTGAATTTTGATGTTTGCTCACCCAACCTGACTACCGAAAAATCAAAATATTCTTTTGGGAACTATGTTGAGTTAAATTTTTTGCCTTCCGTTGCATCAAAGTCAACTGTTTGAATGCCTGAATGAATGTCTAACTGACTGAGCATCCTTCGACCTTTGTACGTGACAGATCAAAGAAAATCTCAAATGACTGGTCATACCGTCAGTCAGGGTCTAAAAAGAACATTTATGGATGAAGTACGGGCAAAAGTTGAAAGGAATGCAAGTAATGAGAATGTAATTTAGAGGTGAGCAGTGAACTTTTGCTACATGCCTCGTCCTGGCAAAACGATCCTCTTGAAAAGCACCATCAAAACGGCACATTTGAACCATTGCCTGTCTTCTTTAGTACCCTATGCTAATTCGTAGAAGTACGGGGGTGAAATTTTAACTGACGTTTATTCTTGCTTTTAGGCCAAAATGCTATCAGATTCAAGCCAAATCAACGCATTGATGAATAGTGGTCCAGTTGGGATCACATTCATAAAGTGACTAAATGCCTACTCAACACCCACCGAGATAAGGCAGCATTCTGAACATTTAACAACAACGAGTCTCATGACTTTATAGTACTGTACTCATTTCAATTAGACGCATATAAAACCGCTGTGCTGTGTCAAGGTCAGAAGAAGAAACGCCTACTCTACGGAGAATAACGCTGTTGTGATGAGTAGCTTGAATTTGAAGAACTAAGATCTGTAATTACCAGAGAGAGCTAAGGTCATTTAACTACAGCACTAAACCCTAATATCTTGCAGTACTCTTCGTGCCTCAATATTCAGCTGGTTCTGAGGAGCTGCCACGAACAATTGCGCCCGGGTCGGCATTCCTTCATTCCGTGTGATTCATAAGGCATATTAATCCCTTTTACATCATCAAGAAATTGAAAGGACATCTTGCATAGACTAGATAAAGTCGTCAGTAGTCCAAGCCAGTGTACTGC